TTATTTTATTTCCTTATTCCATTATATATATGCATTTTTGTACGTGTTATCGCACAATAATTTTAACAGAAAATTTTGTTTTCTTATTTTTCAGTGAAGGAATTAAATATATAAAGCCTATCTCTATATTTTTAAGTGCATCTACACAAAATTCACGTAATAATAATTGTTATGAAAAAAAAACAATGTATATCCAAGCAACAAAAACAAAAACATTATACTGAAATTCAATATTAAATATTCTGTCGCATCAGTACAAATATAACTTAAAGAATTATAAATGTACTGATTTAAAACATTACTATCATGAAACCTAAGAACTAAAACTACCGAGCATTTAATACGATTTGTACATAATCTTTATAAAAATAGTAACAGTAGATTTAATTCAGTTTCCTTGGGTATTCTTTATAGTATCCAAATTAAATTAATTATTTTTAAGAACATTTCAGATATTTAATACTTTCAAGATATCAGTAATCAAGAGATAAGTAAACTCAAACCGGTCATCTTGACTGGTTCAGTAGTTCTAAGGTTAAAACAAAACCATAAAATGTCATCGTTTCCTTATTCTGTTTTGAAGTTTTAATAATTCAACGATGGAAAGGATTTTCAATGAATGCATTCAGTTCACATAATAGAACCGTTTGAATGCTAGACCTCTCGGACAATGGAATGTTGGAAAATGGGAGTTCCAGTGTAATACGCTGGTAATACCGGAACATAATTAAAAATGGAAATAAATCTAGCGTCACAAAAGAAGAAGCTACAAAGATCGTACGAAAATTCCTCGTGCTCAAATCTTGTAATGCGACTTTTGTAATTAATTTTAAATTGCCACATAGAGAACGTACAAAGAGACATTTCGTAGCGCGGAAAATAGAATAAAGTGTGCGCGAAGGGGAAGCTCCGAAACGCCGTCGGCCATTTTAAAGTGACTCAGGCATTTAACGCGCGTTTCCCTATTCAATTTAATTGGAATACGCAACAATGTAGCGTAACGCGCAACTAAGTAACTTCATCACTGACATATTTTCAAATACTGAGGGAAAAGTTGTCAAACAAGACAATCATGGGGAAGGGATGCTACGAGAATGCTATTAAAAATGGAGGCTTCAAAAACATACTTGGAGAAACAACTCTAAAACATGTAGAAAGAACTCAGTAGTAAGCTTTGGATTGAAATCATTGTTAATTCCTTGCATTATAATATCATATAGGACTCGTGAAGAAGATTTCAAACACAATAAATACAAATGCCATTCAATTCTTTTGAGTCAAAATGAAATATTATTTATCTGTCGTCAGTTGTAACGCTTGAAAGTAACTGTAGACATAGAATGAAAATAAAATTCCTGTATTTTTCTAGTAAATTATTAACGATAAAGTAGTCCTAATGAGTGCGGTTACGGAAGAAATCATACAGCAAGAAGTTAACACTAGAAGTTCCACACTAGTCAAAATGGCCGGTATTAGTTTTTTTATTTCGTTATTATTGGTATCTTGAAAGCGTCAAATATTCGAAATGAATTAAAAAATAGATAGTTTCACTTGGATACTCTATGGAATATATTAAGAAACGAGTAAACTGTATTATTATAATTTTTGTAAAATAGTAGTAGTTCTAATGTTAAAACATAAAATATCTCCAGATACTGATGCATTTTAAAGTTCAGAGAAATTTTTTTTGTAAATAGTGCTGTTATTGTAAATAATTGTGAATGGTAGATACTTCAAGCAATAGGTACCATTCGTAAAATTAACAATTTTTCTCCTTTTCGTGAAAAATCTAGTTACAGCTTTAGTTTTGTAAAAAAATATTTTTAAAGTAGTAGAAATAGAGTACCCAATTATATTTTACATAAATACGATATTTCATTTAATGTGTAATGTATAATATATAATTTAGTAGTTTCATCTTGGTAAAATCTAACAATTTAGAAATTATCGAGAGTATAACAAAATATGTTACTAAAAATATTGAGGAAGTTGTAATTCATTTTCGCGAACTCGTTCGAAACTTCTTGGCTCAAAGTTACTACGTGCTGAGACAACAACAAAGTGAAATCCTTAACTTCGAGGAAATCAAAATTTCACGAACACTCGGTCGATACACGTTATCTTCTTGTAACCAACATAGTCAGTCAGTTTAACCAACTTCGCTGCTTTCTCACCATACCTCACAAAATTCGTTCAAAGTCTCTCCGTGATATTAATTTCCCATGAATGTATTGGTGCTTTTCGCGGCTACCTCTACATTGATTATTAAACTGCCAAATTTCATTCACTTGCCACTCTTAAAAATCTTCAAAAGATTATTTTACTTTTAGTTAATTTTAATTGATTATTTTATTTGAACCCATTTATGAAGAAAATTAGATGTGTTATTTACACATAATATATTTCATCAATGTAAATAAGTAATCAACAATTCTGGAACATTTCTCCTCACTTCCTAGGCAACAGTACAAGTTCTTAGTGTCGCGTCGCTAAATCTCTTTAGGAGGGCTATTGACGACACCTTCTGCGAGGCACATTGGAGCCCTGAGTATTTTTTACCATAGCAGAAATAAAAGCCCAAGGAACCGTTACTTCAATAATTTAGTCGTAGTTGTTTCGGCACGTTTTGCCAGTTTGTAGATTTACCGTAACTTTTACCTTACATCTGTTTGCCAGAAGTCGAGGCGATCCTTGGTTTTATTACTCGCTATGGTCAGTGTCAAGAACGCTCAGGACCCTTGCGTGGGTCACCCGGGGGCTGCAATCGGCAACCCCCTCCAGGATCACCGGTTGAGTCCCACTCGGACAAATTTTGTACACCCCTACCAAAAAAGGTTTATAAAAACCCACGCAAGGTACAGAGACGAGAGACACAAGAAAAATTTTGAACTAGACACGAGACGGAACACAGACGTCGTTGTACACTCTCGCCGCTGACGAGTATTATTGAACTAACCAAAATTAAACAGTAAAGTATTTTTCACTGAAGTAATTAGATACAGTCCACTTTCCAAACAGTTCGCACAAAGTTAAGTCGGCGTGCGACGTACGGGTTTCACTATAAGATTTCGAATAGAAAACGCGTACACAACACTTAGCTAGATGGTTTAATCAAGTCTGCTCATACATCAGTACTGCAGTCTATTTCACAAGAACGTACTAGTTATATTCTGCAAAAATTCATATATTTATAAAAAATTTAACCTATTAACTGTGAAATTTAATTTCAAAACTCTCTGATAATACTCGCAATGAAATCAAATAATGATGTGTAAACTCGTCAAACGCAGGCCAAATGCACCTGTAAAATATTCTAACAAACAGCTGAAACAAAACGAAGAAGAATTGCATACATGTTCATCTGAAACCATAAATTGATCGTTGTAGGAATTAGTATCATTTTGATTTTAAGATGACGTGTATACTCGTTGAACGCAGTTAACTGGTTAAGGATAGACAATAGATCTAAAATATTAATATGATTTCATTCAATAATGTATCCAATCTACTTCATTATTGATTATTGCTCAGAAATGTTTCGACATATTTCTACTAATTCGGCGTACGGCACAGATAAAATGTTTTCTGTATTTTACCAATGAGGTTTATTAAAGTTATCATATTTAACACCTACGCAATCGTCTATAAAAGACTATAATTATAACCTATTTCATTAACTTGAATTAAACTCGTTTAACTGATTTGATTAAAAACACTGTTTTATAAAAGCAAGAAATTGAAGCGTAAATAACCTTTATAAAAGCAAGAAGTATTTGATGAAGCGTAAATAACCCGTTTAAGGCTTACTAAATAACAAACGAAAAATTAAACAAAATAAAATGCAATGCGTTTCTAAGAGAAAAGTGAAACTGTTTCCTGGCATCCTCTTTCTGCATATGCGGCTTCGATATTTTCGCTTTAACCCTTCCGGAGGCAACACCTAAAAGCATTGCCCGTTTCTCTTAATTCTTCAAGTTCAGCCTTCCCCGCTACAAATGTTACCATAATCTGTTAATAATTTAGATTATTCAATATTTTTCACAACTATTTTTAATTTCAAAAAGTAGGAAAAAATAATAGTTACATGATAAAACAGAGAATAAAGACGCTCAGAACGATATCAAAGTCAATACGGACCACCAATACAATCCCTAAAGACTTAACACTAAAACTACCTATTACCTGGTTCCTTATTCTTTCAATTATTAAAAAAATAGAAGTTTCTCTGAGAAATTATTAAAGAAACTGATTGAGCAATACGCAAACTAAATTATAAATCAATTAAAATCCCAATAGATGCAGTTTTGGAGTTTCTATAGAGGAATTCCAGAGAGTCGATTTAACTGCTCGATATTTATAATGTTAATTATTTATTCTTTATCGCAATCGCAATCACATTATCACAGTCTTTCCGTTATTAGACATCACATTCTGCAGATACCGCAAGCAACACGCTCTTGCGAGGCAGACTGCATCCTACGTAGTCGACACGAGGAACAGTAGTGTTCCTCATTTATCCGCGCACCTATTTGAAACTTCTTTCACGAGGCCGCTAAATATTCATGCGGAGTCATCGTAGAGGTAGCCCAACGGTGGTCCAACGCCCAGAGGGTTCTAAGCAATTTCGTAGAAAATATTATGTTTCAGCGTGCAACGGCGGTCGTCGAACGAAAGTGGTTGGATAGCGTAACGACTGAAGATAGGAAAAGGAAGAAGGAAAGAACGTAAGGGGTTTCGGGAGTGGAAAGACTGGGGGAAAAAGTGAAACTAATTTTCGTTCGAGCCCGAGCTCCCGTAGCCCCTGTCTCTTCCTTCTCCGTTCCCTACCAGTCCGGAAAGTTTCCTCTGCTTACCTAGCAGGAAGTTGATATCCGTGGTACGTTAATCCCGCAAAGAGATGACTTTACGAAATGGTACGAGGCTGTCTGGATGAACGCCGCATCCTACGCTGGGAAAGGATAAGCTTTTGCTGCTTCCGGGATTCTGGTTCGTTCCTTTTCGAACGTAGCAAAATTCCGCGCGCGCCGGTTTCTAGGCTACCGGCTGATGGTATATCGGTTTCGGGTTATCTATTTGATGATCTGACAAACAAGTTTCCCTGGTCTGAACGGTCTAGTAATTTTCTGACTTCAAGCTCCGCGTCGTGCAACAAAGTATCGGCTCGGCTAAGATACGTAATACGTTGCGTTCCTGGAATCGTAGAAAAGAAGTATGGAATTCTGTGTCACAGGTGTATAGGAGGCGACATGCGTCGCGTGCACGAGGAAGATATTTCATTCAAAGACACGTTTCGCAGATATATTTTCTTCTTTTCTGTATGGCTGCGTTGCGTGTAAAGATACTTGCATTGAACTTCGAATTATTTGATAATTTATGGTTTGGTTGTTATTTGAATGTTATTTTCTGTGTTTCTGCTGTTTGTGTTTGTGATGCTTGCAGGCTATTTTTTGGCATTCTTATGTTGTGGGTGTAGTTTGATGTGTAATGTAAATCAGTATATTTAAATGAATTTTATAAGAGAAAACTGTTATGTACAGGTTCTGCGATCGAAGGATGTTTTGTGGGATCGGAAACACTTGCAGCAGTTGGTAGTCTTGGGAAGTTATTAGGTACCGGATAAAGTTCGTGCAGGTTTTTCCTGCAGGTTCTTCGTGCAGGTTCTTAAATTAAAATTTAACCCTTTCCACTCGAAGCTTTTTCTCACTGATATTATCAGCAACTCGAAACAGTTTTAATAGAAGAAGCATATTGACATATAAATAAATGATATGTGCGTGAGAAAAATGTTTCTATCGATTATAGACATAAATGTTACAATATGTAATTAATGACAAAATTTTACACTTTGTAACGACAAATTTTAAATGATTTTGTTCCGGAGTCCTCGAGCTCAAAGGGTTAAACACAGATAACGTTTTTGTAAAATAATTTTATTTTATTTTATACCAACAATATAAACATAATATTAATTGCAATCGAACTTCGATTCATTGCTTACAAGAAAACCGCACGAACTTTTTCCGGTATTTAATAATTTAATGTCGGAATTACTTTCTTAACACATTTTGTTAACTATACTGTTATTAGATAAAAGTTGAGAACTACAGTTACTTTTGAAGTAACTTATGAGTTGTACTACGTTTTCATTATACAGATTACATACATCTACTTAGATAACATTGTTCAGGTAAAGTATTAGGTTAAATAACTTTCGCATAATCAACTGTGCCATCAACGGTACACAACGGCAACAAAATTTCTCAAGACAGTGTACTAAATGACCTCATTAACAGATATGCCTCAATTTGCCTAAGAAACTAGTTACTTGAGTGGGTCAGAATAGTAGTAGTCTAACTCCTATGTCTGTATTCTCGAGAAGAAACAGTTTCATGAAATGTCCTTCGATTAATTAACTACTAATATTACAATGTTATTAATAATATTAACAATTAATATTAGTAACTGCAATCTTAATATTACATTAATCCCAGAACGTTTTACAAAACCTGTTTCTCCTCGAGAGTTCAAAAAAATAATAATAGTTAGATCATTATTATTCTGATCGACTCGCTATTGTATTTTATTGAATGCGCAAATCAAATTATTTATATACATGTATGTTTTCTAAAACAAAACAATAGTAAAAATAAAATCATATTACTTATTATTTCATGCATTCTTCTTTTATTAACCCATTTGCATCCTAAGGAAGTCTGAAAAACGAGGCTTTTATCAACAAGTTTCTTTTTTCAAATTTATTTCAGAAAAAAACTTACAACAAATAGAAAAAATACTACTAATCAGAATTACTACTTTCATTTCTTATAACACTTTTCATTTTGATTTTCCAGCTAACGAAAAATATAACGTCATACTCAATTCTCTTATGATAATAACCAACAAATTGGAGCATATATATACGCTCCGGTGATAGTGACCAGGAAAATTGATCGTATATACACGTTAATGATGCAAATGGGTTAACATCACACTTGATAATTGTCTTAATTTTAATACTGAGAATCCTGGAAATTCTGCTAATAGAGAAAAATATCTGTTTTCAGACGACGTCGCTCGCACAGCTCCAATAATGGGGTCACTTACTACAGCTGTTTTTAATTTTGCGATTCGCAAAATGTCCATGGAATCGCTTTTTCCAGGTGTTTCGACGAGAACCGTTTTATTCGGTGCGCATTACAGCCGTTGAAACGCCAAGATGCTCGACCGCTTTCACAGTCACTTAGTTCCTCAAGTAGAGTGGGATGGATAAGGAGGACAGAGAGGGTGGAAGGAAAAGGGCGAACAGGAGAGCACTTAAACACTCTGACAGTTAAATTTAAACTGCCCTGTGTTGCGTGGACTATCATCCTCCAGTGTTGATCTGTGTGGTAATCTCGAAATTCGTTTGACGCCATCTCTCCGTTTCTTCAATCTACGTAGCCTATTTATTCTTATCGTTCATTGTACTTTATTAATTAGAGCGCACGACAAACACGCACAACAGGTTCTAAGAGTCTTATCCTGGAATTTATAGTAGAATATTTCATTCGGAATTCATAATTACATGACATTATGTCAGGGGACACGGATAAAAGGATAAGGTGTGTTGCTACGGAATTAACCGTAACACTGCAGAGTGTAATTTTAGTATCACCCACGCAATCAAGCGTTTACAATTTTCAAAATTAATTCTGTGACGCTATTGTATTATTTCAGAGAAGGTTGAAAGTAATGAGCTTTTATGAAAATGAAAATAGTTTTGAATTAGTGCTTAAATACTGCGCTACATTCATTTCGTAATTTGTGTGGTTTCATTGAAAAATTATTATTAACTGTGTATTAAAACTAATTCAGTGTTTGCAAAAGTAATATTCAAGAAATCATTTAGGTGTTCTCACAACGTTATTTCAAATCTTCTTGGAAACTTGGAAGATGATGGTAAAAATTATGTGTGTAATATGTCCTTTAAAAGAACTAACATTTTTAACTTTTCACGGATGAGGATTTTTGAAATGATTAAAAACATTTTCCATAGAAAGATAAATTGTATATAAAATACTTACAAAGTACAAAAGTAGAAAACCATTTACAGATTTTTTTGTTGCAGTAATTGAATTAGTTGTTTGTAATTTTCAGTTCTAGGCACGAACGCTTGATGTCGTCAATGCGAAGATGTTCGTCTACAAAGAGTTAACAATATTCACGTACCACGTTGACTACCACGAGAATTTTGTGCGTTTTGTACAATGATATTCATTCTTTCATAATAAAAAAAAAAATAGTATTAAAATATTCATGTTACACTATTATTTAGTTACTTATATCACTAAATATTGTTATTTCACACCAATTTTCTTATTGCAATTGTCTTCAAACAATTTGGAAACTCCAGCCATCGATAACCACCGTTACAGTCATCACGTTAATCAGTAAAAATTTACAAAATTTATTTCATTTGTTAAAAAATATCTGAAATCTATCCATTTCCGACGTTAGGATGGTGTACGCACTTACTGAAGCCATTGTCGCGAGTTGATTTTCTTCCCAAGGGTTCAATTTACACGCAATTTAACCTTCGTTCATTAACCTCTGTATATAATTAGACTTGTTTAAGGGAATTGCAGCGGTATAAACGTTTTAGATGTTTCGACCCAGCGGACCTATACCGTGTCACTTACGCCAGGATTCGATGGTCACTACCAGGAAAAGGCACCCAAGAGGTCTTTCACTTCGAATCTTTATACGGTGATGCGATTCCACGATAAGGTCTCGAATAACCGGTTAAAGGTTCTAGAGTGACCGTATTCGCTGTTTACAGCACACAACGGCCTTTATGTACCATAAGAAGTCTAATAAAGAGCAGTTGGAGCAAGTAGTTTTCTTTACCATTACATACCTCCTTGAAGCTTTACCACCCCAATTTAAACCCATGGCTGTGTAGACCCTTAAAACTGTTTGTAAATAAAGAAGATTTCGATCTCCTCGTCTTTGATTTATTACACCCAATCTATTCTTAATATCAGACAATCTAATGTGTTGTTATATTATACGTTTATGAATTAAATTGAGAATTCTCTATGTTGTTACTTTACGGAAATACAATTACGGAAATTTAAACCGTTTGTGTTTACGTACTCAAAATGTAATGTGTATCAGAATTGAGCAAAGTATAATGTAATTATATGTCACTAATGTCGATTAGAATGTAATAGTTAACTCGATTACAAGTTACTTTCGGTAATTGTTAAATGTAATCATTGTTAATTATCGTGTGTTGTAATTGATAATTATGGAAAATAGATTGCAATCGAATTTTCAATTACATTTTAGTTCTTATTAAACAATAATCATTTTTCTTTTTTAATTGATACAGCTATTAAATTAATATTACAAAGAATGTAAACTGAAATTTGGTTTCATATGTATCAAACTAATTGTAGAAAGGTATGGATTTCTTTGTTCTTTAAGTTACACTAAATTCAATACAGTCAACATTAGAAAATTCAGTGGTGCATAGAAATCGTTAGTTAACAAGAAATGTTTAGATGTTGATTTGATACGTATTCTTATACGTTAATCCTTGAATGAAAAGTTAAATACATGTGCATATTTTCTCACATTCCTATTTCTTTTATTAAATACTTATTTATACAATTTCTATTTGAAAGGATTCAATATTTAAATTGTAATATGATAACGAACTTAATTTAATTCACTTTAATCGAAATTATAATTAACCTATAATTAAGCACTATATAATTCGAGAATGTACATTATCAAACAATAATTTCCCAACTATGTGCAATTAAGAAATAGTTTCTAACAATTATATGTTTTATGTGTTTCAGGTAAGTGAATAAATTCCAACATCATTTGAACTCGAAGAAATCGAAACAAAAATTGATCAGGTATTTATTATCCAAATTCTATTATATATATTCCAATATTTGATAAAATGTTCGTTTCATGTTTTCCTATCGATACTCATTTGATGCATTATTAAAGCATCTATCGTTAAAGTATTAAAATTTTTTGTAAGGTTTTCTCCATTTACAAAGCATTAATCGCTAACCTCATGGTATTTTCAAAATTTGTTTAATATTTGATATTTAATACATTCGAAAATATTTTTTTATTTCCTAAAATATACGAAAACATTACATGATATAACATCAATAATCAATGGCTATGTTGTAAGACATCTCTTACTAAAACTTAAAAGAAGTACACCTTTCTAATATAACTTGTTATTTTGGACGAATTTATTTGCTTTCAAGGACATATGATATATTTGTACTTATTGTAAAGACATAGAATCAATATGTAAGTCAGTCAGTGGCTAAAGAGATTAACTCCACAAAACAGAAAGCAGAAAAAAGTGCATGCAATTGTGTACACTGACTTTACAAATTTCCCTTTAAATGGAAAATTAAATAAACGTTATAGAATGTATTTTACTTTACAATTGCAGGTATAGCCTTATCTAACAACCGTGTAAAATACATAAAGTAGCACATCTAATAATTTTTATCGTTATTGTAACCAAATATGATCAAAAGAATTTTTGTAATTTCGTGGAACTAAACCTAACAATAGAGAACTTTATTTCAAATCACTCGAGCGCGTTGGCGATAAAATTTAAAAAAATTTTAAAAGTGGAATTAACTGATTTAGCTAATGAGCGGCTCACATAGTAGACCTTTAGGACATTTATGTTCACCTTGCTTTAGAATGTTGCTTTGTCGTTGAATCTACGTATTGTCATTCGACATACGATCTCTCCCTTCTGCGAAAGTGGCGTATGCACATGCGAAAACCATTTTCTTCTCAAAACAATAATCTTTATTTGTTGCAATCGCAAGGGAGACAGTAAGTCGCGAAATTACATCATGTCCCTTTCACGTAGCAACGGTAAGAAATTTCTCTGAGGGAGTCCTTTTGTTTCATCCCTTACCGCCTCTATACCGTGTGCACAGTGCAGAGAAGGGTTTCCCCGGAGAGCGGATGCTCGTCGTATCGGTATTTAATCTAGAGACTTCGCTTCGCATTCTCGGCAGCTTTTCCTGCACCTTTCTGTAACTACTCACGTGTATATTGCTATGTTTGTAATCGTTCTCAGCATCGCTGTTTCTCATCACGCTCTCGGCTTTTCGTTTATTTCATCCTCCTTTCCATTGTGTTCGGAAATCGTATTCGAGCTAAGGCATGGTCAATGAAGAATATATCAGAGGAGAATAATATACAGCGTAGGCGGTATAAATGGGAAAAGGACATGTATTGAATAAGGTACGGCAGTTTTCTGAAAGATAAATTGATCTCTCTACGGCGAGGGTATTACTGTATTGTAGCAATGTTATTGCACGTAAGTAGATATGTACCTACAACTATGGATCACTCCGGTTTATTTCGAGGATAGTTATTTACACTCTGACTACCACGTTGTCTGATATCGAGTGATAAGATATGTGCATTTTATATAAACTTAACATTAAATGCACTGCGACCGGTGCAATGACCCGTTTTCAAATTTGATATAAAATTCTACGTTTTTCTTCGTTCATTTAACTTTATATCAATTTTTACATTATTCCATTAATCGGTTTTTCAATTTTTGTTTTTCCTACTGTTTCTGTTTCCACTAAAAGAATTTATCATCTAATTCGTTTACTTTTATTATATTACCAGTAGTTATTCGATTGATTACGATAAAAATAGGTATAGATATAATATATATAAAGTGTTGGTATGTTTAGTGTTAAAGATTGATTTTCTTCTTGACATGAACAAATCGAATTTTATTGGATATGTGAGATATAAGAAGGATAGTAGATTAATCTTTATGATGAATCTTGACTTTTTAATTTTTCCTTTGTTAAAAATACTGTCTTGACAGCATGGGAATTTTAATGAGAGTTTATTTGGCAGTCATCATGTCAACCCCTTGGCGTATTATTTACTTTCGCTACTAAACTAATATAACATTTTACTATCGACAATTTGGTAGAAATGCAACAAAATTTTCCATTATATTTTAAGTGGAAATTTTATTTCAAGATAATAAATTGATAATAGCAAAATAGTTTTTTGCTTTGATCTGTGGGCAATGAACAACATTGATTTCTGTTAAATTAATCTAGAAATTTTCATCACGAGTCTCACTCGTCAATGTATGGCAAAGAGTTAATGTTTAATAATAATTGCTATAGAAATTGCAGAGGTTTGAAGCTAACAACCTCATACTTAAGATAACATACTTTATCACAATTAATTACAAAACGGATTAGGATAACATTTTTAATAATGGAAGCAATGAATACTTTGGAAAAGTATACTTATATTGCACATACTTACAATAATGCAAGAGTAATTCTATTTCATTTTAAGAAACCCAGAAATGAAATATTTTTCTACATTTTCGTCGGTTGTATCAGTGCAGTTTGTGAAAACTGAGGATATAAAAAGTGGCATAAAAAGTGCCTTTATTTACTCTTACTACGGCATTAAATTAATTATTTATAGCTGTTACGATAAACTCATTATCCGCGTTTGGATGATGATTTTTTAGTTCTGGTCATCAATTAAAATGTCTTTATTACTGTAGCCTTGATTAAAATTTACTGTTTTGTTTTGTAGGAAAAAGATTATCCCTTATTTCTTAACTTGAAAACCTTTTTTTGTTTCTTTTTAAGAATGCAAATTTAATGTAAATGTGATTGCAAATACTTTATCAGTACATACCATGCAAATATATAGACAAAATAATAACTAAAGAGTAATTTCAATGTAAAATTTCCTTAGTTTTACAATTGCACCCTAATCGCAGGTGGCAGTTCCTTTCTATTTACATGCAAACGAGAAACTAACCTGTATTTATCTTTGTTTATTCCTCCGGACCATTCTTAAATATTTTCCTAAATCTCTATGTATGAACACTTTCTGTTGTGTGACGTTCCTAAACAATTAAATAAAATAAATCTCTCTTATCGATTACCTCCTCTACGATCATTTAAAAATACTAAATTCACTTTAACAAGGTCTACAACAATTTGTTCGACTAACTGTATCCATAAACCAGAGGTGAAACATATTTATTTTTGCGCGACGATGAATTAATAAAACTACTGGCGGATTCCATAAGAGTCCGCTGTGGCAGCAACTAAACGTTATGAAATAAAAAGAAAGAAAGAACAACGAAACAA